GCTGGTTTCGAACTCCTGAGCTCAAACAATCCGCCCGCCTCGGCCTCCCAGAGAGCTAGGATTACAGGCGTGAGCCACCGCACCCGGCCTTGATTACAATAATTCTTTAGATGGCATACCTTATTCACAATTATGGATTTATTTTGCCAAGATGTGACAGAGCCTAAACATTGCAAGTCAACTCAAGAGGGGTTTACGTGAATGGACTATAACATAATGATGGAATATAGAACCTATCTAAGAACGATGTTTTCCCACCAAATACTCTCAGGTGTCATTAACAGAACAGGAGGCTAAATGTCTATTACTGTGATTTTAAAACATACTTGCTATGTTCTAAAGCAATTAAAATAGAGTAACTAACATAGGTACCAATCTAGCCGATAGCACTGAGATAAAAATAACTTATTTGAATGCCTTCCAAATTCAAAAGCTCCTATTAATATTCAGCTGAACAACATAAGTATCAATGGGTTTGGAATAGGAAGAATTCAGCGGGCTATGATATACATAAAATTGCATATTCAATGGAAGAAATAATAAAACTTAGCCACAGAATGAAGTTATAAACTGGTTTAAGAGCTTTCATCCTTAAATGGGAAGCCTGTCAATGTGGCATGCGGAAGGTATTCCTTCGGAGCTGAATGAGAAGAGTAATAAAGTGATGCTGACTGCTGCTCTTTCTGAAGCTAAATTCACATCATCCAGCCCGAATTCACACCTCGGCGCCCCACTGTCTGTGTGCAAAGCTTATAAAACATTCGGAAATTTGCTTCGGCAAGAGGCAATTCCAATTTTTAGCCAACCAGAAGTGCTGAACTTGGAGCAGGACTTTTATGGGTTTTACTCAAGGTTGGATCTCTATAGCAGTGATGAAAGGTAAATGAGACAGTTAAAACACCATAGGTCACGCTCTGTGTGGCCCCAGTGCGCACAGCCCAGCGGAGCTTGGCAGCATAGCGAGGAGGGAATTCGGGCGCTTCTGCTGACTGAAGAACACAGATACTCACAGGCAAATCAGCATTGTATTCAGCCTAAGACACACCTATGAGCACTGCAGACCATTTTTAGCCACGTTGTGTTTTTTTTTTTGTGATCAACGATTCCAGCACCAGCTAATCACAGAGGTCTAGACACTACAGAGAGACAGCAGCTTCCTAAACTGGCATCGTGCCAGATACAGGTTTCGGTACCTTCTCATCTTTTTCGGTGAATGTCCCACCATTGCCCGATTTCTTGTTGATGGCCTGGGCTACGCCAACCACCTGGGGTAAGGAGAGAAAAGTGACAAGTTTTTCACTGACTGAAATTACTGGTATAAATTCACCAAAGTGTGTTTACATAAGATATTCTACATGAGCTTTAAAATAATAACAGGCTACAAAACCCCTCAGCATTTGAACTAGTTCTGGATCATTTACTACATTCTTTTTTCCTAATAAGAATTCAAATGTTTTCAATTTCTTAGGGCTCAAACTATATTGGGTTCTGTGATTTCACCCTACACTTTGAGTAACATTGTTAGCAATCACATTTAAAGTGAATATTTTCCATAGTTTTTGAATATAAACAACACATTTTGAGTATATTTCAAATAAAGCATATAATAAAATGAACATTTTATATTGGTTTTAAATATAATATTTCAAAAGGGTTAAATTCTTTTTACTAAAAATGCAACAGGACCAAGTGGCCAATCACAGAAGGAATGCAAGAGGATCATCAGGGTGAAAATAATTTAGTGCAGGGATGCAGTCCAACTGCTTCTGAGACTTTTGCCCTTGAAACTTCTTTTACCTTTGACAGACTTATTTTTGGGAAAAGAAATTACTGAAAAATCAAAACAGGAATTAACAGGCTGAGCCTTATTTCAAATAGATCAGAAGACACTTGGAAGTGTATTTTACTTACCCTTTAGTTTTAATTTCATTTTGAGTTATTACCTTAGTCTTATAAAGACCTTCAACTTACTTTTGCCTCTTTATTAATTATAAATTCTACTCTTTTGTTGCTTCTGCAATTCAATGTCAGTAAAATAAGCTATTATCCCCTAACTGGTTATGCTTTAGGAATATGCAGTCCTTCCTTTTGTGTGGATGGTTCATCCCTGTTTCTCAGCTTACTCTAGTCTCTTAGTTTTAGTAAAAGGATGTGCAATTGCCCTCTAGGATAACAGAACAGGAAGGGAAAATAGTAGTTTTCTAGTCTTCTTAACACCTTTCCCTTTTTTCCCCCTGCCAGAATAAAGGGAGGTTAAAGAATTTTTTTAAAAAGCAGAATTATCCAGTTATCCTATGCCTTTGTATTTCCCTCAGTTCAACTCTCTCTCATATTTGTATACTCTTTAGCTCTTGAAAATAGCTAACAGATTTCTAGATGCTCCAACCTCAATGACTAAATGTCTGGGAAAGCTTTTGCCCAAGGCCAGAAATGTCTGGATTGTAGCTAGGCATGTTCACTTGAATGTAACTGATGAGAACCACCTGAAGGTCGCTGGGGTCTAATACAGAATAGTGTAAGTATAGCTTAGTTATTTCAAGCATTTATATATTCATTCATTCATTCATCCACTCACACCACAAATATGGAAGTGCCTACTATGTAGCAAAGAGTGACACAAACTGGGGAAAAGACCACCCTGGGGAGCTCAGAAGCAGGAATGAGTGACATGTGAGCACAGGCTGGCCGCACAGCGGGAGGGCGTGACTGGAGGCTGTGGATTCTAACGGCACTGAGAGGGCACCTAATGTGAGTAAGAGAAGGCTGCTCAGAAATAAAGACATTTAAATTTTTCTTTTTATTTAATAAATGGCTTTAACTTTTCTAAAAAGACTTAAACTTTAAATCCTCATTTTAAGGAAGATACAGATACAGAACCTGCCAGGCAAAACTCTGATAATTACGCAGCGCAAACTGTATGCTGACAGGCTTTCTATGCTTGTGGCTGTGTGAAGCAATGCATGAGGCAAGAACGCAGAGAAAGCTCCTGCTCACTCAAAAATATAAAGACACAAAAAACCAGCTGCTTATTAAATAACCAATACTCAAACTATATTAACATTTTAGTTCATCATTTTATCACCATAAACTGACAGTGAGACGATAGTTTTTTCAAAGTCTTAAAAGAAATAAAATCAGCTGCACAATGTATTTTCTGAAGTCAAGAGTGGTAACAGTAATCACGCTGCTTAGATGAGGTCACTGAGGAAGCTTGAAAATGATGTCAAGGTCACTGTGGTCCATGGCTGCTGGCCATGGATGCTCTCAACCTACTCAGTGATCTGTAAACTGGGTGACTGAATGATGATTTGGGATCGTACAGAAGAGTTGGAAGAGATGAGGATATAAAATGTTTTATGTGTGGGACAGAAAGCATCAAACCCTACTAGCAAAGCAACAAAATACGGCCTATTCTGGTGGGTCTGCAGCATCTTCCATTGCAGCAGAAGAGGACTTAAAACAAGGCTTCTGGCCAGGCGTGGTGGCTCACACCTCTAATCCTAGCACTCTGGGAGGCTGAGGTGGGAGGATCTCAAGCCCAGGAGTTTGAGGTTGCTGTAAGCTACCATGATACCACTGTAGCTGAGGTAATACAACCAGACTCTGTCTCAAAAACAAAACAAAACAAAAACAAAAAAGCAAGCCTTCTTCAGTAGACATGGGGAAGGTCCTTAGAGCTCTCCCTTTATTAAAACCTGTATGACAACATTAACTTAAAATTTAATCTGGAAGATTTATACTCAGGAATATTTATAGGGTAAGTATTATTTCTAACGGTGGGCTGAAAAGTGTTCTCTGTATAAAAGAACAATGTCTCTGAAATCATACTAAACATATGTCATTATTCACAACCTTCAACCCACACAAGTGTTTGTGCAGTTCAATAACTGTATTTTTCATTTCTAGAATTTCTATTTAGTTCTTTTTTCAAGCCTATCTATTCTTCTTTTCCTTCTTCCTTTAAATACCAGTGCCTGTTCTCCTTCATCTCTTTGAATGTACTTAATTTTGACTGTAAGTTCATCCTCAGCAGGGACTGTTTCCCACGAGAGTCCCCTGTTCCAAGTAACGCCGTGTCCATGAATGGTGATTCCCTGTTTGTCTTTACACCGCACTGGTGGTGGGAATTTGGACGCCCCACATGTGTGTAGCACAAGTGTGTGTTTTCATGGTTAACGCCTGTCTCTTCTTTCTCTCGACTCCAGGCAAAAGGCAAGCTTCCCTGCTGCTTCTCCTGGCTGCCGGTGAAGTTTTGCTAGGCCCAGTTTCCTGGGTGGACCATTGACAGACAGATCTAGGTTTTCCCTGGGTGTAGTTTCAGCTTTCCCTGCCTCACACCACACCTGCAGAGTGGGCTCATCCCGCGGCCTGCAGCTATTATCCTCAGACGTTAATCACACTACATGCATCTCAGACCTCTGTGAGCCCATTTGGCTTTTGGTCGCTCCCTTTTCTTACTCTGGGTTCCCCTCTTTGTTTCTGGCACCTGGGATTTTCCCTTTCTTGAGCTCAGCTGTGTATTTTTAAAACTGTTTCTGGTGACATTTTGTCTTCTACTTGTTTACAGAACAGGGGTGGTATTCTCCATCTGTTCAGTCTGTAGAAGTCTTGTTCATAGGCTTCAAAACCTTCCTTGAATATCCCCTAAACACTAGGTCTTCACTATATTTAATTTTTTTCCTCCAGCATTAAAGTAAGATATTTACCATTAGGAAACTTCACAGAATGAGGACTTCCAAGAATGAATTTTTCATCTTTTCTGGTAACCAATTATTTCTCTATTTTTTTTCTTTTTGTTTTGAAACATGGTCTTGCTCTGTTGCCCAGGCTAGAATGCAGTGGCATCATCATCACTCACTGTAACCTCAAATTTCTGGGATCAAGAGATCCTCCTGCCTCAGCCTCTTGAGTAGCTGGGACTATAGGCATGCGTCGCTATGCCCAGCTAATTTTTCTGTTGTTTTTTTTCTTTGTAGAAATGGGGTCTTGCTATGTTGCTCGGGCTGGGCTTGAACTCCTGGCCTCAAGCAATCCTCTTGCCTTGGCCTCCCAAAGTGCTAGGATTACAGGCATGAGCCACCATGCCTTAGATATTAGAGATTAATTTGTTTAATAATTGTTGAATACAATTATTATTAAAAAAAAAAAAACGAGCAAGTTCTCTTAAGAGACGAGGAAAATATAGTTAGCCCTCTGTGTCTATGATTGAAGATATTTGGAAAAAACTAATAAAAATAATACAACAATAAAAATAACAAATAAAAAACAACCATTTATACAGCATTTATACTGTATTAGAAATAAGTAATCTAGAGATGATTTACAGTTTACAGGAGGATGTGCATGGGTTACATGCAAATGCTATGCCGTTTTATATAAGGGACTTGATTTTGGTCTGGGGGGTGGAGTGGGGTCCTGCAGTCAATTCCCCATGGACACCGAGGGACAACTGCACATCTATAATAATATGTGTATGTGCCTCCATCCCCAGATGAATGACATTTTAAAAAACAATAAGTAAAAACAGAAGAAAACAGATAGTTTGTTCGAGGTCACATAGATAGTAAAAGACAAAGAACAGTTCAATTCTCTGACTTGCAAAGACCCTGAGCAAAACTAGTACCCTCTAACCTCTTGTGTTCATGTAAAGTCCTTCTTCCTGCTGTCATCTACTGCTCCTTTAAACAAATTAGTGCATTGTCTTCAAATCACGTAACTGTTCACCATAGGCTTTTAAATGGCAGCTTTCAATGACAGCTTTTATTACAAGTGTATGTCAGACTTCATATGTGAGAGGCAAAGCCCCTAAAAATGTTAGCTTCCATACCAGAAAGTCCATTCCCTCTGCCTACCTGTTGGCTACCTGTACTCCCAGATACAGATACTCCATGCTATTGTTTTAAGCACAAAGACTCTCTATTTTCTATTTTACCAGCACTTTGCACAGCACACATGGATATCATGTCCTCACAGGGTTGATTGTTCTTTTAGGAATGCAAAGGGCAAGACCTGACTCTGGCTGGGTGCGCGGTATGGAATGTGACAGCTGGCTGTTTCAGGGCAACTGATCATGGCCACAGTGAAACATTTCTTCTTCAATAAGCAGCTGCCCCAGACATTTACTGAGGCCAAACATCAATCCCAATCCATGTCCCCACTCCCACTTCAGGGGTGCTCAGCATGGAGACTGAAGGCAAGGGAGGAAAGGAAGCTGTCCTCACTGCGGGAATGGCAGCATTCTAACCCGAGCCAAAAACCATGCTTC